TAGAATGTTCTTTAAATGTATGTGGTAAAGTTTGGACTAAGTGTTGACTTTAAAAATGCACGTAAAGGAAAAATATTTTGTTTGTAGAGTTATTAACCATGCTCTTCCTATCCTATCATCTCATTGAGATATTATTGAGAACGAGCCGCCCCGCGGCGTATCATACGCCGCTATTTAATTGTTTTATTTTCTACTTTTCAGTAAACTGACGTGTCCACTTGAGGTTCGGATTTCCCCCATGTAAGGTATTTATATCTTTAATTTATTGGTTTTAGATATCAGAGGACCATAAAAACTTCATCAGAAAAGATAAGCCAAGAGACCACGTAAGACTTGGTGTTGGTCCAAGTGGCGGAGATAGAAAAAGATACCCCCTCTCCCCACCGCCGCTTTTATCAAGCGCCGATATAACATGAACATGATTTAAGTCAAAGTTTCAAGTGGACTCTACTCTAAATGTACATGAGGGCTGTATTACATTTCACAAACCCCGCTTATAACGCCTTTTAGATAGCTGCTAATCGCGTATAGTGATAATGAGAGTTAATTATATAAAATATTGCCAAGAAATACAATTTAAAATTTAAAAATTGGCATTTCTATCCATATTAAAGCAAAATTGTCAAATTTACAGTACATCTGTTTATATTTGGAAAAAAAAATTAGGTGTAACATTTTAGTAAAAATAAATTATTTAATTTTGGAAATTATGGTACCCTAAACAATGAGATAATATTAAAATATGTATCGTAAAAGTTGTTTGAAATTATTTTCATTCGTTCCGAATACAGATTTTGTACTTTAAAATTTGATTCCAAAACCAATGGTTTATTGGTAACTAAAAAGTCAGACCTATCATAATATCTACAATATCAAAACTTTAAAAAATCATATTTTAATCATTTTAATGAAGTTACTGTTTCGACGTTAGGCTTCAAACCTATTATATCCGCCCTTTCATCTGTTTCCTTTTAAAAGGCCCGCCTTTAGTTTAGCTCATCTTTTAATGTCTATCACGAACACCCATCCCATAAAAGCCGCTATGAAAGCGAAAGATAATTTGTCTCAAGTTTTGTCAGTTTTGTCTACAGTTTTCAAAAGAAAATGAATTTCCTCACATCTATTCGTGATTTTGTAACTTTAAATTATCATAATATAACCACACTTAAAATATTTTAAAAACATAATTTTCAATAAAAAAATATACGTTCGATTAAAAGGTATCTAATATTTTAGTTTTTAATTTTATTCAAAATTGGATTTTACATCCCACACAGCCTGATTTTCCCAAACATTGGGTTCTGTATTTCCGCCACTGGTTGGTCGAAGTTGTTCATGACGTCAGCTCTAATATAAACACGCGTGAAGGATCTACAGTCTACAGTCTGTTACTTAAACAGATATCCAGAGACAGTTTACGTCAACACTAAGACAGGACTTTATGAGGTAGGATCTGTTTGAGATTTGAAAACAAACATATTTTCTTTTGTAACCTTATATGATTTTTTATATTATCTTTTAAATTTGAGATTCCCCGTTTATCATGTTTCTTGATACATTTGTCCGGGTCGATAACAACATGTATAAAACTGGAGCATTTCAAAGTTTAAACGTCTTTTATCTCAGGCTCTATCACTTTAAAGTATATCAATTTTCAAAATCAGCATATTGTGCCCGTTCGTGCCCAAGACGCATGGAGTAGATGACGTTGAGTTAATATCTTTCAGCGATCTCGACATAAATATAGATAGTGTGGTCAGTACTGTGTCCAGCCGCCTTAGTTTCCCTACAGTAAGTTAGGTACCCATTAGAACTTGGTGGAGACGGCCTATAGACTTGAGCCTAGATACGAACTCGAGACTTTGGTCAGAAGTCGTAATCCCTACTATTCGACGAGGCTGTCCGACTTTTCAAAATGTTTGGCTTTTTTTTTCGTAACAATCATTCAATTAAATTATGTAACGAGATAATGAATCTTTTAGGTCATGTCGCAAACGTTAAATGCCACCGTTCCGCTTTTCTGAATTTTTGTCCGTTGTTTTTTAAACTCGATGTGCTGAAAGAGTGAAAATATAAATCAACAGCTAGGCTTAAATGAATAGCTTATAATTAAAGTCTTACTTTTTTGCGATGTTCTTCTCTCTCCCCGAATCGCCACTGAAAGCCAGATCACTTATTTAATATGACATCGCAAAGTTCTACTACTCCCTAAATCACGATTTCTTACGAAATTCTTAATTTTTATTCTATAAAAACACAACCAAAAAAGTTCTTACCTCTCCCGTGTTTCGAGCCTGACGACATTTATAGACGACCTAATGTTAGTTAATACAATAAAAGGTTAAATGTTGGACTTGCCAAACGTTTTTGAGATCTTGGGTGTACAAACAGAGCCTTCGTTTCAATTGAAATTGAAGGCGAGAAGGCGGTCTACTGTCCTACTTACTTCTACTAAACACGACAGCTTTTTATATCTATTTTAAACAACAAACGTCAACACAACATGCATGCTCATAGAAAATTGTTTTTTTTCAAAGGAAATTACACTAAGTTTCTTTACCCTATTAAATGTATCTGATTAATATAGTCTAGAGCCTAGTTTAGATCGCAAGATCTAGATTAGATCGCAAGATCTAGATTATATCGCAAGTTCTAGATTAGATCACTAGATCTAAATTAGATCGAAAGATCTAGATTAGATCGCAAGATCTAGATTAGATATGAACGAAGAGAATCTAGATCCAGGCTAGTCTTGACACTGTCAACTAGTTAACCTAGTAGTAGAAATTGGAAATGAAAAGGGTTGTAGATTAGATCTAATTGAGATATATGGAATCAATATCGAAACAAATAACTATATTTAATAAGGAAAAAATAGATCTGGATTATTAAGGCTAAAAACTATAGTTAAAGCAAGATTATTAATAATTTAGGCCTGCTAATTTTTATTAAATTAGGAAACTTAGTTAGACAAATTAGTTAGAGTTTAGAGCATACACTGTGTAGATTTTTTAATAAATGCAGTTCTATAGTCTAAACCAGGGGTCTCCAAACTACGGCCCGCGGGCCTGATGCGGCCCGCGAGGTCATTTTATCCGGCCCGCGTCGATCTTTTTGTCCACTGAATAAATGATTATTGGAGGTGGCTGAGGAGCTTTGCACAGAAAATTCAAAACTATTCCACCTCTCAGCTGCTTGTGTTCATTAGAGTTGTGGATGAAGACCTGAACATAATACAAGAGTTGGCTTCCGCTGGCTTCCCTACATAACATGTATGGCACTTTTACCGAAGAGGATAGCTAACTATCAGAGACAAACAGAAAATCCCAAGATTTACCATTTTTCACATCAGTAAGATTGATAATTTTGCGAGAAAATTCTGAGCAGAGTATCTAAGAAAAGAAATAGGTGACTTCCTGATAGTAAAGGCAAGTCACAGCCATTATTGTCTGATTAAGAGTGGGTATAGAAATTGGCCTCTGCTGCAAACATAACTGGTCATTTAAATTTTCTGAACTTATAACAGCAAGAGGGGGAAATCTAGTTTCTGACCTATACACCCACCTAAAGGCCTTTAGATACAAACTTGTCATGTTTTTTAAACAAGTACAGGCTAACAACTTTACACACTTTCAGCAGTGCAAGGTCTTTACGGCTGAAACAACCACTAAGTTCCCCACGTAATTTACATACGAGATCGGTAAAGACCTCCAGCCGCAGTTTCAGTAGCGGTTTTCTGACTTAGACTCAAGGGCTGAAGAAGTGAGACTGTTTCAAAGCCTATTTGAAGCAAATGTGACCAGTTGCAAAGATGAACTGCAGCTGGAGGTCATTGAATTGCAAGAAAATGACTTCATTAGAGACACGTTCAAAGAAGGGCGGATGGGTTTCATAAGTTTTTGCACAAGGAAGACTTTCCTAATATTAAAACTTTTGCATCAAAGTACCTTTCAAATTTTCCAACAACATACCTGTGTGAACAAACATTTTCAAGAACGAAATACGTGAAGAACAATTTGAGAGCAAACGTGGACCTCGGGTGTGTGTGGGGGGGGGGGGGGTGTGGACACTCGAAATTTGTATATATTCCAATATAAATTATATTTCGTTAGAGGGGGGGGGGGGGAGGGGCGGTAGTCGTTCTTCGGGGGGGGGGGGGGGGGCGCCACGACCCTGAAGAGATGCCTTAAAGAAACTCTGGCCCCCGAACTGATATTTCATAGTTAATGCGGCCCTCGGGCTGAAAAGTTTGGAGACCCCTGGAGTCTAAACTAATCTTAACTCTAAACTTCTGATAATATATAATAGTAATAGCTCGCATGACTTTTAATGAAGGTATATGAAGGAGAAACATTTGGACAATTGATAGAGGGCAGATAAAAATCATTTAAAATGTGAGACACTTACAAGCCACACATTAGACACATTTTACAGGTGATATTAACTAAAACTAAAACATAATTTATAGAAGAAAATCACAAGTAATGATAGTTTTAAAACTATGTACTTGATTTCGATATGAAAATAAATAGCTTCTTTTGTGTGTGTGTGTTTAATTGCGCTTATCTAGCTGATAACTAATTGAATAAAAAAATATTACTTAAAATTAATTAAGATTTTATGTAAAAAGCATATATTTTGAGAATGTGTTTAGTTAATTTGTACAACTGTACTATTTAAAAACAATTCAAATTTGATATTGAACGAGGTAAAAAAAATTAAAATGTAGGCTAACATCTGATTTAACCGTTATTTAAAGTAAAAAAAAAATGCTTAATGTAATTTACTGTAATACAATGTAATGGTGGATGAATTGATGAAGTAGAGTTTAGCTGATGACCAGTTCTATGACCAGATTGTGTTTGATAGCACCACACCAAACTGTCTTCACATTACCAGAATGAAATCTGGACCTCATCCTTAAGGTTGACTTAATAAATGATAATAAGTTTTGTAACAAAATCATTTAATGAAAAATTAAGCACATTCTTAAATTGCAGGTAAAGTTGTCAGAGATGGGAAATACAGGTGGGAAGAAAAGAGAAAATCAGTTGACAGAGAAAGGTAAAATATTTTTTTTCTAGGCAACATGTTTAGTATTTGCTGTAAATGTTTAGAACATCCCAGTGTCTTTTCAAATAGAGAAATGTTTTATTTACTGGTAGAGGTTTGTGTTTAATCTGAATGAAACCTTGGTTTATATATAATCTAATTCAGGGGTCTCCAAACTTTTCAGACCGAGGGCTGTATTGACTATCAAATATCAGTTCGGGGGCCAGAGTTTCTTCAAGGCATATATTCTGTGTTATGTCCATTACCCCAGCCCCCCCCCCCCAAACAAAATAAAATTTATATATACAAAATTCAAGTGCCTCCTCTCCCCCCCCCCCCCCCCCCCCCGAGAAGAAAATTGAATGAAACACTGTCGGAGGCCGACAACACACTCGAGGTCCAAGTTTGCTCTCAAATTATTCTTCACGTATTTTATATCTATGTTTGAGCCCAGGGGACCTTATTAAATTCTCCATCTTCACCACATGATTCAGTACACTGCTAATGTCCATATATTTCACACTCAAAATTTGCATATGAGTAATAAAGTGCATGAGCATTGGTTTCTTTAACTCATTGAATATATTCTCTCTGGTAACAGTGCCATACATATTATGTAGGGAAGCCAGCTCTTGTTTTATGTTCATGTCTTCATCCACACTCCTAATGAACACAAGCAGTTGAGAGGTGGAATAGCTGTCCAGCGACTCATCCATTACAATTAATAAAATAGTGAAACATGCTTGCATTTTTCGCTATTTGAGACACGATGTTTTCACCAATGTCTGCAACACGGTGGGCAAAGGTATTTGCTCCCAAAGCTACATTTTCAGATTGTTTTGAATTTTCTGTGCAAAGCTCCTTAGCCACCTCTAACAGACATTTTTTCTGTGGACAAAAAGATCTCCGCGGGCCGGATGAGAGGACCTTGCGGGCCGCATTCGGCCCGCTGGCCGTAGTTTGGAGACCCCTGATCTAATTGAAACCTTGGTTTATATTTTATCTAATTGAAACCTTGGTTTATATTGAATCTAATTGAAAACTTGGTTTATATTTAATCTAATTTAAACCTTGGTTTTTGTTTAATCTGAATGAAACCTGGATTTTTTGTTAATCCCATTGTGTTGTGAACACACGGACACGCCTTTCGTGTGACCCGATGCGTAGCGCAAGTAGCCACAAACGGGTTACAAAACAAGACTGAATGAAACAAAGGCTCGTTGAAAACTAAAATAATTTAATAGTATCTACACTATCTACACCTAACACAGTCTAGTCTTAACACAAAATACACAAGCTAGTAAACTAAGATACAGTGGCCAAAAACTAGTATAGACCTAACCTGTACTAACATTGGAGATCTGGCGAAACTGAGGCCTTCACACGTTTTCACACACCTTATATATCCTTTCACAAACTGATACAATCCGGACTATAACAACCCACGAGGACTGAACAGGGACGACTGGAATAGGGTAACAGGTACAAACATTCACCACCATTCATCCCCTTCACTGCACATTGAAACTTTGATGTTTAAATATTTTAGGTCTAACACGTACACAAGATGAGATAACACAGTTGGAAGAAAGACCAGATGAGACAACAGAGTTGGAAGAAAGACAAGATGAGACAACACAGTTGGAAGAAAGACAAGATGAGACAACACAGTTGGAAGAAAGACCAGATGAGACAACACAGTTGGAAGAAAGACAAGATGAGACTACACAGTTGGAAGAAAGACAAGATGAGACTACACAGTTGGAAGAAAGACAAAATGAGACAACACAGTTGGAAGAAAGACAAGATGAGACAACACAGTTGGAAGAAAGACAAGATGAGACAACACAGTTGGAAGAAAGACCAGATGAGACAACACAGTTGGAAGAAAGACAATATGAGACTACACAGTTGGAAGAAAGACAAGATGAGATAACACAGTTGGAAGAAAGACAAGATGAGACAACACAGTTGGAAGAAAGACAAGATGAGACAACACAGTTGGAAGAAAGACAAGATGAGATAACACAGTTGGAAGAAACCAAGGCTGATGGACGTTTTATACCAGGTGAGCTTCAGATTGTGTGAAATATGCGTAAAATATAAAAAGTTAAATGTATATTTATACAGAATTGCTGGGCACATGATAACATTATTTACACACTTGAAGTGCTTGCGTTCTCTTACAGCTAACATTATCTAAGTCTGTTGACAATTAATAGTTAGTTAGAAAATATATACCACATGACACATGTGAATTCTACTTCACCTGCTCCAGCTAATAAAAATATTACAAATAAGAAAAGTGTATTAATTTTTATAGCTACAACTTTAGTTTGCTCAGAATCTTATTATAAAAAAACTTTCAAATTGTATTTTTTAGAATAAGAATTCCCTCCCCTTGTATCTCTCCAGGACATCATGAAGCCGAGATCTGCTATGGAGGTGAAGCTGACTTACACAAGCACTATACCAGCTGTAAGAAGAATCCAGGTCATGTCAACTTTATACCTGTCAATAATTTTAACTTGGAACTTCTCCCCTCACGTTACCGTGACGTCATCATGCTAAAGGTAATCAAAGCTTTGTCTGCCCTAATGGTCCTGATAAAGGTCAAGTACACCAGTCTAGAGAGACCAGAGTCTGCTCCATGCTTCAGTGGTCAGTATCCATTTTATAACACCAGAGGAAGTGACGTGTTGAGGACAGGGACCGGTAGGGTGCATGATGTGGTCAAGTACACAGAGAGACACAACAAAGGCACTTGTCCATGTGGCAAGTGTCAACACTCGGACACACCCAGCAAAGTGTGGGGGAAGGTTCATGTGGTGACAGCCACACACGTGGTGTTTGATGACAGTGAGGCGAGACTGACCAAATGTGTTGTTGGTTTTGATGACAATAAAAGTCCTGGGGTCAGTCTTGATGGCTGGAGGGTGGGGAGGGTAGATATTGGGGGAGACAGGTGTTTGTTTACCTGTGTGTCATGTGACTTAGAATTAGTTGATGAACTGGACAATATGTGGTTGAACTTTGAGGTTCTATGTTGGAAAGTAAGGAACAAATTCTGGAGATATTTTGATGTGGACAAGTTTAACGTTATAGTGTCACATCCTCATGGCTGTCCTAAACAGGTATCTGTAGGACAGTGGACACACAAACATGAGATGGAAGGTTTGCACACGTACACGTACACAACATGTACATGTCCAGGCTCCAGTGGAGCCGGTGTCTACATGCCGAGATATGGCAGGTGGATGTCACATCCCCACAGTGGATCAAACTCTGAAGGAAATTATAGTGGGGAGGGTTGGTTGCCTGGAGCCATCTATAACGGTTGGTTCTCTCCCCTTGTCTAATGTAAGCAAACAAAATGGCGGCTTCCTTAGTTAAACTTGTGTGTGTCAAGACTCGAATGTCTTCATCAGCAACTTTGTATTCTGGTGAAGACAAGAAATAAATTGTTTGGTTTCTTTGAGTCATTTGTTTAGAGTTTTTAGACACATAAACAAAATTTACGAAATTTTATTGTTGAGAAATGAAATATTTTTATGCTACAAATGCATCTTTGTTTTGTTTAAACCTCCACATTCGATTTGTCATCGCCATCATTGTCTTTATTTATACTTTAATTCATATTTGTATTTGTTTACAAAACAGTTTGCATTGATGTCAATAAAGATTTAGAAGATTTCAAAGTTTCTTTCATTCATTTTGTCATCGTTGATAATCTTAATGTTTTATGACGGTGATTAACATAAATTATACACTAATATTTTAATACCTATAAAGAAAAGCGTAGGTCCCTTCCTAAATATTACTAAAGGTATCCAATAGATCAGTGGTTCCCAAATGTTCTTCGAGTGACGACCCCTTTTATAAAAGGTAAGTAACCCACGGCCCCTTAGAATGAAAAAGTCGAAATTAGTAAGGAAATTAATAAATACTAAAATACGATTTTCAGTAGACTTTCAATATGAATTATTCTTGATAACTTTTTAAACGAAGTGTTAAAATTCTAATCTTACAAAGATATGTAGATTCGAAATGAACTAAAACTCGAAAGGCAATCAATTTCACGTTCTGGTATGAACGGTGCATACTACATCAAAATTGTGTGAGCAGTTTTTAATTTAACACGATACGTGACGCGGAATCATACTGTGAATTTAAGAATTCCTCTCGTAATCTATCCGGAATGTTGGCTGCATCAACGGAAGCAGAGCATGGGTTACATGTCAATGCATATTCTTCTTCTTTCAGCTAAGGGAAAATTACGCCAAAGTTCGTTTTCAAGAGATTCAAGATGCCCAGAATTCTCTTTCAAATTTTTATTTATCTCACAATTAGAGTTTCTAAAACATAGCAATTTTTCCAATATATATTTTCCTTCGACAAATTTGCAGCTGCTCGAGTATATCTGCTAGGTATGCTACTCTCTCAAATCACTCTTTGTCGTTAAAGTATATCGAAAAGTTTTTGTTTCCCTTGCATTTCTAAGAAGAATTTGATTTCATTATTCAATTGAAAAACACGATTCACATTTCCTATTGACAGCCGGCGTACTGTAGTGTAGATCATCGTGATCTTTATTCATGTATTTGCACGGTTCTTGAAACAGTAGTAAGAGTCTTGCTGGCGAGGGCTTACCAGTGAATCATGCAGTGGATTCCCCTTCATTGGGGATCTAAATCTTTTACTTTTTTTTTTGAAAGCGGATTTTTACCCAAATATGACGCACCTGTCGTACAAACCACACAGCCCTTTTCCCATTTCAATCATCCAGTTTCGAAAAAAAGAATTTATTTTCTTCATATTTTCATAAAATATCAACTCTGCTTTCTCATCATCCTAGTGGATATTTTTCACAAAGACAAGACAAGCAACTGCTAACAGGATCTGACGTGTGTTGATTCATTAACCTGAAAAGCAAACAATGGTGAAAGTTTGATTTCAATAAACATTTGATTTTTAACTTCTTCGGACATGTCTGCTATTTGCATCTGAATAGT